TTGGCTCTATTTTCAGGGCTCTGTAAAAATTATAAATAATCGAGATACAGTTTCGGGAGTCGGGACTTTTTTTATGCAAACTCATTGATCTTTTCAATTTTTTTTTCAAATTTCCAAAATTTTGAAAATTTTCCGAGATATTAAGGAAAAACTAAACCCCCTTTTTTTCACTCAATTGTTTATAACTTTTGTTATTTTTATCGGCGCGTTTTCGGACCTTTCCTTAAACTTTCTAGGCAAAAATACGAATCGAATGACACCTTGGTCGTAATTTTTGGACAGGGCTGAAAAATGTCACCAAAAAGAGCTAAATCGAGTACATGTGAACCAGAATAGGCTGGGATTTTTTGGTTCCACGCATCATGTCATGCGCAGTTTTCAAACATTTTTAAATGTTAGAACATGTTCGGCTGTGGTATTGCTAAATAACAGAGTTTTCTTGAAAAAATGGAAATCAATCGTTTTAACTTGGAGATCTTGTGGTATTACTTTCGATAAATAACACCAAAAATTTTATCGTTCTTTGAGTAACTCAAATACCTAACAATATGTGTCGGTTGGAAGACTGTTTATACCCAATATCCTTATACAATGGTTTGATATAAGCGACTTTCGATGTTTCTCGTATCGCCATAAGAATCGTAGATTTTGACTCACTGATAACAGCGAAAGGTATTGACGAGAAAAGCTTTGCTGATAATGGAGTGAAAATGCAAATTTCTGAGATAGGAATCTTTGTGCATCAAAAGTTAATGTTCGAATTCGAAATTCGGAGTATCTTGCTCGAAACCGACCTTGCTGGCCTTTCGGCGAATAAGTATTTTTGCATGTTAACAAGACAGGCCGGTGCGTCGATAAGAGGATTCAGCATGACGAATGGACCACTTCGAGACATTCAGCGCCTCCAGATAAACACCGAAGAATGCGATAAATTTTGTAGATTTTCGAGAAGTGATTTATACGTATCTTGTAATATACATAATTGGGACACAAGCTTTACGTGTAGATTGTGACATGTTGGTTTCACACTTATTGGCGAATTTGCAGGGAGTGTCTTCAAGTCTAGTCAGTAGCGACTCCACAAGTATTTATTTCATGAGGAGCATTCGGGTTATGGTTATTCGAATATGCGTTTTCGGCAAACATTCCGTTATTTGTCATCGAGAAATCTATTTATTCCGTTCATTATAATACCACTCACCTTCCTTGTCAACCTGTCGTTTCTAACTGAATCATTTCCGAAAATATTGAAAGTCGGCAAAGTTGTCCCAATTTTTAAAAAGCAGCATCCAGAAAAATTGGAAAACTATAGGCCAATTACGATAATTCCGGGTTTCTCCAAGATTTCTGAGAACTCCTATTTAGATAGGTAACTGAAATTCCTAAGAAAGTCGAATATTCTCAGACAAACAACATGGCTTTCGCACAAACAAGTCCACAAACACTGCAATAATTTCATTCATCGAAACAGTTTCAATGCTTCTGGAATCAGGAAAATGCCCGTTGGCATATTCTGCGACCTCAGCAGGGCTTTTGACTGTGTCAATCAATGTCAACTCATGTCAAAGCTTCATTTGTATGGTATACGAGGTGTTGCCTATGACTGAACTTTATCGTTTCTGTTAGCTTGTTAGCTTGAAATATCATAGAGAGTCTACCACTACTACCTTTGATTCTGATCGCTTGGACGTCACGACGGGTATACCACAAGGATCTGTGCTAGGTCCGATATCATTCCTTATTTATTTAAATGAAATCGATAACTTCATCACAGATTCATCCATACCGACGTACGCTGGTGACACATCCTTGGTGGTGTCCTGTAATGTGGATCATCTTCTGTTTGAGAAGTGTGGAAGTACTCTGAAGTCAGTTGTGAATTGGTGCGGAAAAGGCAGTGCCTAAAATTACAAACTCAAATAAATGATCAAACACTCAGCAGTACAGATGATACAGGATTTCTGAGGATAACCATTGATACATGTCTGACACTGCACCCCCGTGATGAACAAATTGAATTAATTGTGTTACCTTTTCAGAAACCCCAAAAGTATTTTGATAGAACAACAACTAGTATCATTATATCACGCGCGAGTTGCGTCAAGGTTTCGATATGGCATATGTATGGGGTAAATCTACACTAGCTTCAGATGAGTTCATTGTACATAAAAAAAAATTCGAATAGTAGCATGAGTTCCTAGTACATTTTTTTGTAGGGATTTATTTCGAAAATCAACAATTTCAACCCAACCCTGTATGTACATTTGTGAACTGTTAATCTTGTTTTCGAAAACAAGAATAGATTTCCTTCAAATGGAAATATTCATAATGTGAACACTAGACAAAAACGTTATCTACATGTTCCGTTTCGTCCAAGGACGTAGAAAAATATTTTTCTACGTTCATGGTTTCGTCAATATAAAACAACATTGAATTGTCCATCAGTGGTAGGTCTTACTATTTTCAATAAGCTCCCTAGGTGTTTAAAAGATATAACAAACATCAATTAATCCAATAACTTGCTAATGAATTATTTAGTTGATAATTGTTTTTATAATCTGCAAGAACTTTACGATTCGTAATATGTAAGTGTTTCTTTGCTGTATTCTATTTTATTGAAATATTTTGTGTCGTTGTTTTAATAACAACGGTGTTGTTACTTTGACGATTCCAATACATGTTATCTGTGTCTAATGGAAAATAAATATTATTATTATTATTAACTACCTACTTCCTGGATGTTTTTTTTTTGAGAATGTAGCATTTTTCCGAGCCAGTCCGGAGAGAATCACATCGTTGCTGTCATTGTAAATATAAAAATATTGCTAGTTACGGTTTTGATAAATGAATACCTGGCTGAAAAAACGTGTACTGAAAGTTCAATTTTACAGGAGAGTGAAATTATGTTCAAATACTGATTTGAAACAGCAGTTGACAGACTAAAAACAACGTACAAGGTTTTCCCACCAAATAAAACTCAGTTGCGAAAACATACTACTGGGTTTACAGAACCTACCTAGAAATTGGTATGTTCATTCACATTTTGTTGTTCAACAACAGAAAAACGACATGCAACGTTTTTCCAGCCATCCATTCAAAAGCAAATGATTATTACCAAAGCAGCGAAATAACGACAGACAACTATTTGACACGAAATTATTTGATAATTTGATTTTTGATAGTTTGCATGGTTTATTTTCGCACCTATCGCAATAAATCATGGAAAGCAGCAGCGACAGTCAGTTTTTGAAAATGTGCCTGAATTTCCAGGGCAGCAGCTGCTGCTACAGCACAATGATTGCCTGAAAAATCGAAGACCAGGTAGGAAAACGTTTATGATTTGTTCTCAAAATAGATTTATGATGCACAGTTTGGAACCTTTGTTGTATTAATGAATATTGCTAGAGTATTTTCCCAACACCAAAGCGTTATTTTCATCTTCAAGAGGAAGATCTTCCTCTTGAAGATGATCACTTGGTAATCGAAACACGTGTCGAGGTGTTGAAATAACGGTGTTGTGTTGGAAAAAAACTCCAGTAATATTTCTCAAAATGGATGGTTGTTATAGATGGATGATATTCACAGTTTTGGGACGTTAATTGCTGAAAATGGTGAAACCATCACAAATTTGAAGAGACACGGTTGGAAGTCTATCGTCTACCGCTGAAGAATAATATAGACACTTACGAACAAAGTTAGCATTGCCAAGACCATTAAAAATTATCAATGTGGAACAGAAACGTCACCTTTTTGTTCTGACTCAAACAAAAGGCATATTCGTATATATCCTGGGCATTCCATACAAATTGAATCCCTTCGATAATAGCAATTGCTCTTATTTTCATATGCTGGAATTGCAAAAGATGCTTTTTTGAAGTATTGTTCTCATGTATGGAGCTCCGCCCCCAAATATACCTGAAGCTGCTGGATTCCATCCAGAAAAGAGCCTTCCGCCTGATTGGAGACAAACAACTCTTGCAACTTCGAACCCGGTGCCGCACTGCAGGATGCTAGATGGTCGCTTGGAGGGTGGATGGTAAAGGGGGCTGGTGGAGGGGCAATGCATCCTGGATGCAGTAAAAAGAAGTATCTAACTGACAGCGGAAAAGTAACAATCATGCCTCTCTTTAATACATAAAAAAATCATTGGAACTAAACATTAGAACATGAACGTTGAAGAAAATAGTTACATATTATGAAAAAAAAGAGTTGTAGATTTTCCACCATACGAATCTAATGATTGTTGTTCCATTGAAAAGCATGAAACATCAGTAGAATTTGACAATGATAAGTACTGGGTACGACTATCATACTCGTAGCCAAATTGAGGGGCTCCCACAGACAAATTTCTTTTTTCATATTCATTCAAGATAAGGTCTTGAATTTTCCCACGGACTCAGACTATGGCCTGGGCTTAATTCCCGCATGTATGGAAGTGAACTCTTGGAGAAACATATATCCGGATCTTCTTCGGAGCTGATTTCTTTTTCCAGAAGTGCAAATTTTTCCTTAATGGGTCTGATGGGTCCCAAATTCCCTTCTTTTGTACACAGAACTTATTACGCTCTCTTCCACAGCTAGGCTACCCGACTGGAATATCAAACACGACTGATTAGGTTGTATAGACGCCTGGCGTACCTTCGGATGGTTTCTGGAGGTTAGGTGGTAGTGGGGGCCACTGCGGCTAGCGTCGTTCTGTTACTCATGTTTATAAATAGCAGGATGTTCGCCAGGCAGCTATCATGATACTATAACCATAAAGATATGATCAATTGGGCGACGAGAATTGGACCTCTGCGCGCACGACGTCATCGCGTGACAAAATGCATTAGTACGCCTCAGCGAAGCATGGATTTTATATGCAATTTGGATTAATTTCGACGATTTTTACAACATTGTAACTATTTTGTAACCGATAATTTTATGAGATTGAATGTAATAATGGAAAAATCAGTCTAAAATGGGAAGACATCAACATAATATTATATAAACGACACAAATACACAATATTTTTTTAAATGTTTATTTATTTATCAATGGGAATATCTCAATTTTACACAAAGTAAATTTTACAAGTGAATGGTCTAGTCTAAGAATATAATTTAATTTAATTAATTTACAATTTTGGTCATTTTGCGTTTTCTCATACTAGATATTTCTTCAATATTTCTGTTCAAAATTCTTATTCTAAAAAACATTTTGCACCTAAAAAATAAATTTTTTGCTGCATTGCTTAACTGGACACTTTCCGCTAATTTATTTGAATTTACAAGATAATTTTTTTCAATTTTCAAAGATTCTCCATTATATTTGGTGAATATATGGTCTAGCTCATTACATTTGGATAAAAACTCTTCACTAGGTTTCTGTAAACCACCTTCTGTTAAATGGTTGACCCAGGAAAAAGAAATCTCATTGGAATCGGGGATAGAACCAAGTTTTTCTTTGTTTCTCAACTTAAATGCGATAAAACCTGCCAAATTTTCCAATCCGTCCCACCTTAACTCTTCCTTTGTATCGAGTATATTTTTTTCAAATATGTCCTTCTCATTTTCATCGTCTTCAGATAAATCTAAAGCACTAAGCATTTCTCCGGTAAGAGCCTAAAAGTACAATTTTTTATTCAAAATTAATTTTGAAGAAAGAAAATAAATCAAAATGAAACCAAATTTAATAAATGAAATAAAATCCTCTTAATACCAGCTGCATTACTGAGTTCTTGGCCTCATTTACAATATTTGCAGAAGTGGTTGGTTGGTTAGTTACAATGTCAAGTTCCTCTTCAATATTTGCGGATTTAGATATTACATTATCATTTCTGCCCACCAAATAATTTCTTAGCTGATATTTGAATTGAAGGGCATTTGGGTGGTCATGCAGACCACCAATTGCTCTCATAATAGAAAAAAAATCCTTCAAGTGGGTCCTGGTTAAGCCGGTACGTCAATAAATATTTGACACCAAATTCTTCTTTGAGGTCAAAAAAAAGCTTTTGCAAGGATTCTATACTTATAATAATCCCTTTCTGAAACGGTAGTAAAGTATTTGACCCAATCTTTCTCATATCTTTAACCATATTTTTCATTTTTTCCAAAATTTCGTTTTGTTCTTGTAAAGCCAGACCATACCCTAGAATATTGATTTTAAAATGTATTAAATAAGTAGTTTAGAATAGAATATTGTTATTTTTACCTTTAACTCGATTTCGTGAATCTGCATGTGGTATTTGCGAGTTAAAAACGTCAAACCAGTCATTGACAATTTTAAAAAAGTTAGAGCACTCAAGCCAGTTATTTTCTGTTTTGTAAATGCTCAGCATACCCAATCTAGACATCGCTTTTGAAATTGTATGCGAAAACAACTTAGAAGCATATTTTACTTTCTGCCTTTGAGCACCTAAAAATCAATTGGAATTATAATATAATAAGTTCATGACCTCATGATATACACAAACAAAATCTTAATTTTAAATGGTAGTTACCTTTTACAATTAATAAATCTGCGTTAAGCTTATGGGCAATATTCAAGTCCAAATTTTTAGTATTTTGCAATAAGTCTACAACTGGTTTGGAATTGATAATTTTTCCGTTTAAAAGATATCCACTGTCAAGAAAATGATTCCTTAAAAGTTTAATCATATGTGGGGCGTCTGCAAATATGTGAATGTCTTTGTCGTTAGCTGGATTCTTGAAACTGGTGTTTCCTTCAGTATCGGTAGCTAGTTGAATTGTTTTTAGTTTTTTTGTTATTGTTATTTGTACAACCGGTAACTGCACAGTAAACCATTGTTCATTGTTTTGTTTTCAAATATTTGACGTATATTTGATACACAGAAACACGCAAGGAACCTAAACACAGCGACAGCATTCACATCTCACCACATTTCACAGCGCGATTCGCCATTCTCGATCGCTCGTTTTGTCACGCGCTTACGTCAGAGGAGGAAGAGAGATAGAAGATACGATGCGCGTGGGTTTATCTTTATGGTTAAAGTATCATGGGCAGCTATATATTATTCACCATCCTACCAACCTTCCTGAAGTGCGGCCCCAGCTTGATAGTCTGAAACATCGACGAAAGGTTGGAGAATTGTCTCTCTATTATAGATACTTGCACGGGAAGTGTTTGAGTGACTTAGCACAATTGGTTACACCAAGAGCGGTACATTTAACAAATACGCGACGGACTGTGGCTGCTCATCGTTTTGGGGTTCAACTCAGTACCCCTCGAAATTCACTGTTGAAGAACTCTTCCATTTGGAGAACTGCCTTTATATGGAATAAACTTCCTGAGAACGTTTTTCCAACTGAATTGACTCTCCAGCGATTCAAATTCAACGTGAATAACTACATTCACACAACCACCACTTTAAAAGCGCCTCAAGGATTTTTGTAGTATTTGTGTTTTTTTTTTAAGAATAATGATATAAATAAGAGTTATAACAGGCAGTTTATCAGAAAAACAACGATAAAAATAAAAACAAAAATAAAACTTAATTGGCGCTCCGGGGCGACTTTATTGATTCCTGTGGCGCATATGCTTTTCCAGCTGCAGGAAAACCCGGAAAAACTTGCAGCACCACATCATCTGAAGATCTTGATCTACCAATGTCCTCTCTCTTATTAAACAAAATGTAGAGTGTCTCCAGGAGCTCCAATAAATTCAATGCATCGTCAGAACACTTCGTGACACGACTATCGTCAAACTTAAGCCCGTCTGCTTCATCTGTGACCAAGGCTTAATAATGACCAAATTCAACCACAGTGAACAATGACTGCATGAATATTATAATAGTGGTTTGCTAGATTGAAATGTTCATCTATTTCGAACCTTCCAAAGAGTTTCTTGCTTGTTTCTTTTCGAATTCCAATATTCAATACAAATAAGGATTGAATTGATCGATATTTGGGAGGATATATAATAAAGAAATGCGTCTCACTGATTTGTTATTCAATTGGCAGATCGTTATATATCTACTTCTCTGGGCTATAGTTTCAGTCACATGTGAAACCGAAATTATAATTTTTTCTGACCTAGTGGTGTAGGAGTAATCTAGAAATATTTTGCTCCGGTTTAGTTTTCTGATCAGCAGCTAATGTCAAATAAAATATTTGTTTCACATCTAAGATATTGCCAAGATTGTGGAGGTCATCTGATGGGTAGATATTTGGTTTTCTGAATATTACTTTCACAAACCATTTTTAATTACTTCAACATTCTTTATAATATTAATATAGGCCCCTCCCCAAGCTAATGCGCATTAAAGCATTAGAAGATGTTTTTCTTTCTAATTGTTTGAACTAACTTCCTAATGTGTAAGTTACATTTTATATGAGTGTCTACCATTAGGTAGGTACACCAAGATTCAATTCGTTTTTTTTCAAACTGAAATTTATTAACAAATGTACAATATCAAATGAATGTCTATGAGTATTGAAGAAATTGTAATTACATGTATAAAATTTTACCACAGTCTGCGAAGTTAAACACTTGTGTTTGACTGGGTTAGTTGAAAAATAAAGATAATGTTAACTGTTAATATATATATTGTTCATGAAACAATATATAGAAAATGAAAACTGTATCAATAATAGTATTTTATAATGAAACAGGGTGAAATAAATTATCTGTTGAACTGAACTATTTCAATGTGAGCACATTTTCAATTTTTTCACTATTATCTAATATCCAATTGTGTAATGTTTTTTAAATGCTGTTGTTCTCAACTTTCTCGTGAAATTATATTGTAAATTTCACAATCAATACATATGCAGTGTTGTTGCATTAAATGTAGACCACACTTAGCAATTTGAAAGCATTTATTGGTCTTTGATCTTGTATCATACCGATGTTCTACTATGTCAGTATTTGCAAAATGTTTTTTCATATAGATGGTACTGATTTTATAAAATATTTATTTGTCTGATATTTGAAATGAAATATTTTCTGAATAAAACTTTCGATGGAAATCTGAAGAGATTTAAAAAAATATTTTTATGGCATATTTATGAATAAACTTGACATATTTTACCGAATTTTCATATGCACCACCCCAGGCTATGATTCAGTAGGTCATGATATTGGAAAATAATGCATGATAAAACATCAATAGTGTTTTTACTTCTCAGAAGTTTGAACTTATAGAGACTTTTCCTTATTTTTTTGTTAATTGAAGTGATAATTTTCTCCACTTCAGGCAACAATCTATATAGATTCCTAAATAATTCATTTGTGGGGTTCTGTTTAATTTAAGAGTGCAATTGCGTTTTTGAAAATGTTTCTGTAAACATTTCGAACTATGAATTTTTATTTCATCAAATGTTGGTTGATATTTTTCACTACATGAAAATGTCATGAATTTAGTTTTTGTGATATTGAGTGTGAGCAAGTCATAACTCAAGTTATGTTTCAAAATTGACATGCCAACTTCAGCCTTCGATATGGTCTCATCCCAGTTATCTCCATCCATTATATATACAGTGTCATCTGCATTCGAATATAGATCACCATCAAGATTTGTATTTAGTGGATCATTAATGTAAATCAAAAAAAGGACAGGTCCTAAAACCGTGCCTTGAGGAACACCATACATTGTTATTTGTTGGTTACTCTTATATTCATTTATTTTCACGAACTGTTTTCTGTTTCTTAAGTAACTTCGGAAAAGTTCAAGGCAAAGGCCTCTTATTCCGTATTGTGTTAGTTTATCCAGGAGTTTAGAGTGAGATATGCTATCCTTCGTATCTAAAAATATTCCAATCACTTCTTTGTTAGTATTTAAACTATTATATATATTTCGAGTTACACTGAAAATTACATTTCTGTTGAAATTCCTTCCCTGAAACCAAATTGTTCAGTTGACATTTTTTTTTTCATTTGCAAGAAAGATAAATACTCTTTTTTTATACTTTTTTCGAACACTTTACTAATATTACTTGTCAATGATATTGGTCTATAATTATCAATACTATACTGGTATGACATTACAAATTTTGAGAATTGATGGAAATATACCAGATGTTGAACAATTATTGAAGATATGGGTCAAGGGTTTCGCTATGAAATACTCAACAGATTTAAGTAAAGTGCTATTTAATTCATCAGGGCCTGGAGTCGATTAATTTTTTAAATCATTTAGAGATACTCTATTTCTGTGGCTTGTCATCAAACAAGAAATTTTGTTATATTCAATTGAGTAGTCATTTAGGTATTTAAGGTAAATTTATTATATTTTTAGTATGAAGTAATAATAATAACTCTTACCAAGAGACATTCCACTCTTCCATGTAACATCAGGTCACGATGAGTAAAGACATATTATCATTATTATTATTAGATTATTATCAATTCTTTGAATAAACGTATTTATAAAACGCACATTTCACCATTGCACGAATTCTCAATTATATTTTGATGTATGGTGTGTTACCAAGTGCTTAAATGAAATTAACATGTTCACAATTAACCTATATTTGGTATCGTTATTTATTGCCGGTATAAATTAAAGTAACAAAGTGTCAGATTCAACGTAATGGTCGCCGTTTATATCAATATTTACTCGGACCTTACGATACTGCAAAAAATGCAGTTGAGTAATGAAACTTCATTTGCACTCAATATATTCAAGGCGGGTCGAATACTATCTCAACGATGAATTGATCAAATTTCAAACAAGATAATATGTTCTCAGTAAGAAATTCCAGATACCACTATTGAAATGAGTGGAAAAACACGGCAGCTCCGGCGGCCCGGGGGATCTATGATTTGTAATTAGTCAGTCAGCTTGAGTTAGCCAAACGAGAACGTTATTATATAAATGTAGGCATTCGCGGCTGGTGTCTATGTTTTGTTTGATTTCCAGGTTTTGCCGTGGGCTTATTTGGTTATAATCTCCAAACGTTTCTACTACAACTACGGCAGTCATCTTCAGTGGCGTACTCTTCTTGAAGTATCAACTGAAACTGAAGCTCTGTTTTCTGCTATGTCATTTATAGTGATGATTTTCCGCGCACTTTCTGCAATGGCGTGTTCCCTCATACTTCCCGCGCGATTTGGGTGACATGGCTTCGTTTTGGCGCCTTTCAATGGTGGGTGCCACATCTTTGGTAGATATGTTCTCTGTACCTTTCTTTTGAAGTTCTCTTGGTGTTTGTGTATTTCTATGGCTTCTGAATACATTCTTGTTGGAAAATGATTGGACGTTGCTAGCCTCTAAGTATTTTTGAAAAGGGTCTTATGTTCCTCGTAGAACGGTGCATGTTCAGCGACTGTAGACTTCTCGGTGTGTCTCAATCGGCAACTCTGCTTGTGCTCGACTAGGAAGGTAGCAATTATTATTTTCGTCTGACCAATATAAACTTTACCACAGTTACAAGCAATCCTGTAAACTCTCACTGATTTGAGTGGATCTCTGCTGTATTTTGCCGATTTCAGAAACTCCGATATTTTCTTCATTGGTTTGAAGACGGTGTTAATTTTCTCCTTCTATGTTTGGCAGATAGTCACTGCCTTGGGATTGATCTTTACCTATGTTTCTCTTCTCCTCCTTTGGACACGTAGCGTGGATTATGTCTTTTCTGTCGCTGCCGTTTGCTTGTAACACAGTTGTTAGGTGATTTATCATCTTCGTCGATTTATTCACCAGAAGTTAAATTTTCGCTTCAGTATTTCAATGAAGTGGAATAGAATGAAATCAAAGCAACCATAAGATATAACGAATTGGTACTGAATGATAAAATATACTGCCTGGAAGAGCTACAGCAAGATTCTTCAATCTCAGATAAAAGTCACCAGTCTACCACCAGGGATTCAGTGATACTGGATCCCAGGCTGTCGTGGAACCAACATGTGAAAAGAGTTGAAAGGTAGGCAGAGGTAGCACTGGTGCTGGTCAAACGCACCTAGAGAAAGACATAGGGTTTTAAACCTAGAGAAAGATATGGGGGTTCAACTCAGTACACTCGAACTTCACTTTTCAAGGACTCGTTGAGT